ATGTATATATATATATATATATATATATATGTGTGTGTGTGTGTGTGGTTTCCACACTGTGGGGAAAAAGGTGCTTAAAAGATATATCTAACACTTCCATCTCTCATGCTGTGTGGATATACTCTGCTGTACCTTCTCTTTGGTCCTGAGCTCATCAAACATCTCCTGGATCTCCACACGCCAGTTGTCCTGCAGGCTGTGGAAGGAGTCCTGCGGCATGGTGGCCATCACGGCCTCCTCGATGGCCGACAGCTGCTCCAGGATGCAGGAGAAGGAGGGGCGCTCATGAGGGTCCTGGTCCCAGCATTCTACAGTTCAACATATAAAAATCACACAGTAAACAACACAGATCATCACACATCAGTCAATGATGGTTTCTGATACCATAGAAATCTATGTAAGCAGTTATAATCAGACTGTAGACAGCAACAATAACAAATAAAGATACACAATCAGATATACAATTACTGACTGCAACCCTCCAAATATAGAGACCAAAGTTCTGCATCCATTACTAATATTGGTCAATAAATTAATGCAAAAAATGTTTAATTAAAAAATAATTTTAAATAAACTTGTTATCCTATATAGTAACTTCAGATAACAGTTTCAATGAATAATTAAATGAATTCATAAAAGAACAGGCTGACGTCACTTAATTTAAAAACGGTTTCAAAACTGTTAAAACATGAATTAGACTATTAGACTACTATTATTTATACATTATTTCTACACATGATGCACAAAGTGAAAAAACAATCGTCATTTGTTGTTTGCCTTCTTTTGTCTCTTCTAATGGATAAAATTGCACACAGAGAAAACAATTAATAATTTCAGTGCGACTAGCACAACTCAAAATCCAAAACTCTTTTTACACTGTCTTGTTGTTTGTGTTTCCAGCTGTTAGTCTAATTTCCTTGTCAACCCAACAGTACATTTTTAGCCTTAAATTTTCATCTATTTCCTGACACCTTTATATAACCCCGACTTACATTATAGATTTAGTGACCATCTTTTTGGGTGTCAGTAGCTGAAATAACCTTGAGTTTACGAACGTTATATTTGTTCTCGGTTTGTTTCTTTTGTAAATTAAACATACTTTACTTAAAGCAAAAACAAAGTATACCAACATAATTTAGATTTACTGGGATTTTGTTGCGGTTACCTTCCATGAGCTTGGCGAATGGCTCAGGGCAGGTGGAGGGGATTGGCAGAGTCAACTTATTGACCGCCACACCGTAAGCAACAGCCAGACCGTCAATCCCTCGGTAAGGCACCTCTCCTGTTAACAGCTCCCACAGCAGGACGCCATAACTGATGAACGGCAGACACAACCAAATTAAAATCAACAAAGCACCGACAAGAAATGGATATTAAATAAAAAAACACATTGTATTTTGTTAATAAGGTCCCATTTCTCATACCTCCACACATCACTGCCCTTGGAGAAGAGAGAGCACTTGATGACCTCAGGGGCCATCCAGGAATAGGTGCCTGCAGCAGACATTTTTGTAGTTTTGTGCCATTCCCTAGCCAGGCCAAAATCCGTGATCTTCAATGTCTTCCTCCCAATGTCGTCATTCTCTATTTTTTCAAGTAATAAAACTAAAAACAAACACACACAAAAGAAGAGCTACTTTAAAAGGAGGAGAGGACAACGTGAAGATTGTGATACACGGGAGAAAAAAAAAAGAGACAAAAACAGTTAAAAAGTTAAAGATGAGAGGAGTCGGAGGAAAAGGGAGAACGGAAGAAAGGGAGATGCAAAGAGGAGACAGAAAAAAGGACAACTGTGCAGGCGAGGAGTGATACGTTAATATTCATGAGGGCCAACATTGTTTATTACTGCAGTAACAGAAGGTTGACAGCACCACAAAGCACCTGTCCTCAGGTCCTAAAAGTCTTTAACAAATTAAAAAACAAGGACCCCCCCCCCCCCCCCCTTTCAAAATGTGCAGGTAACACTACACGAGGCCTGAGAGGTCTACAAAAGTGAAGCTACGGCTCACTGATGTACGCTTATGAAGTGAAAGTGAGCATCACACAAGAGATATAAAAAGAAAAAAAAATACAACTTCCACTACTTTTAATTGCCCTGTCATTAAATTAGGACTTAACAGGCTGTGAAAGACACCAGCATAAACACAAATCAGCCCGTAGCATGACAAGTATTTAACATTTTTAACAAAGACTTGGGGATGCTTGTGGGATGAGTTTAAGTATCCCTACTCTGCATGGTTTTGTCACTCACTCACTACACTCTTTCACAAATATCCACCAGCAAATACACTTACATTCTCCTCTGAGAACCACCCAAGAAGTTCAACGAGAGCATCGATTTAGAATCCGACAGTGTTACCAACTGTGCACCAAATGTTTCTACTTGAACCAGATCCACTGACAGATGTAAGCGTGCGGCAAAGTAGGACAGTGTCTGCCCTGAAAAACTGATAGTGTGCTCAGAAATAGACGTTGTAACCTTGAGCTAAACACAAAAAATGAAACAAACACAAATACTTAATAGTAACAATACTCAATTTATCAGCATCCATCCATTATCTTTACCTGCTTCTTCCTTTTTGGGTTACATATTTGAAATTTTTATAGAAAGTAAAGCATATTTGAAAATGGCTAATAAATATAAAGACTGCCAAAAATTGATTAGGGGAGTGTCTGTTGTTGGATGAAGGAGGATTTCCAAGTTCCCCCACAGCTCAAAAACACTAAAAGAAAAGTGGCTGAAATTAAACTGTAATCAAGAGAAAAAGAAATTCAAATAATAAACAAACATTTTAAGAATTTATTTTCTCTTTGTAAAGTATTATGTCAAATAAAAAAATGTGAACTTGTTTTGGTGACATTTTTGTATCCAGTTTGCTTTGGACTCTGGTTTTTTTTTTTTTTTTTGTAAGTGTTGCTTGAACAGCACTATAAACTTCTCTTTTGTAATCAGAATATTCAAAAACAAATTTAAAAAATCTGCAGTGAGTTTTAAAATTATAATAAAGTCAAATCTGTGCACAGAAACCCAACAAATATAAATCTAGAACAGAGCAATATCACAAATTTCCTGAAAAGTTGTTGGTACAAATATAAAAGAAATGCGTTTGGCAGAAATACTGTCCCCTGACAGCTAATGTCAATTCATTGCAGCATTGGTGGCTTTGGCTTTTAGTCTTCACTGTTGCTTTTATAGATTTATAAAAAGCAACAGTGAAGATCATCAACCGACCTTCACACTGGCTGTCTCGTTCAGATTTGCCCTCCTGTCTGACAGGTGGTCTCTGATCTGGTGACATCTTCAACTAACAATCATTACCATCACAAATTAAAGGCCAACTCATCCCTCATCATCACATCTTTCCATGTCACACAGTAGCTAAATTTAAGGAGTGGAGTCACCTTCAGTGCTGTGCCGCATGCATTCTGTTGTCTAATCTATAGACTATTTTTGCATAATTTGCATGCCCTGGAACTTATAGGCCGAAGCGACATATTTAAGGATTTTTTTCCCCCCATATTTATAAACCAATTTTTGGTTGAGATATGACCGTTTTCATTCATTCTGACTGAAAAAAATTTGAACAGTACTATTTTTCAGCCGCTAGATGGCACCAGAGTTGTGAGGCATGCCGTTGTATCATGTAATAGGTAAAAGTGGCTATAATGACAAATTAAAAAAAGTTCCAAGACAAAAACAACTGGACATTATTATACCTTATTGTTTTTGTTTTGAACTTTTTTGAATTTACCATGTCCTGGATGACTGAGAATCTCACCAGCTATTAATGACACAATCGGCCTGCCATAGCCAGCCACCTTCGTTCTGCTTGCTGCTTGGAGCAATCGTAATCAGCTTCATTTCGCTGCACAACCCCGGCAAAATGCAGCTAATTTGACCATTAAAGTGCATTTATTAAGTAAAAGTTCAACTGAGACACACCTTTGCTATAATGTCGATCAAACAAAAATAGTTTTTAGATGTTTATTTTGATCATTTTTGAAGAAATGAACAGCGGCTCACCCCTCTGCGCATGCCCGCTTCCGCGAATTGGGTTTTGAAACACAGCTGATTTGACTGTCAAAGTGCATTTATTAAGCAAAAGTTATACTGAGACACAACTTTACTATAATTTCGAGCAAACAAATTGTTTTTAAGCGTTAATCTTGTTAAATTCTTGTTAAAGTCCTCCCGTGCATGCTCCCGTGGCCGCCATTTGGCAACCAATCTTTTTTTGGCACAACACCAGCCCACATTTCCAGGCTGTCAGCGGTGACGTGTAACAAATGCGACGTGTCAACAGTGACACATAATTGATGCGACGTATACGGCGAAGTAACATATTTATGGATTCTTCCACTTTATTAGACATATTTGGACTAATGCGACTTATAGGGTGGAGCGACGTTTACGGTGGAATATATGGTACATAGCGTCAAGTCACAACAGAAGTCATGGCACTGAACAGAAACATTCATAACATGTGGTACATGAGGTGGAACAAAATTATATACACAGGTTCCCAATTAAACCCCAAAATAGCAAAATATAAAAGTATAAAAAGAAACAGTAAATAAGGATCTATAAGATATATGCTAAACAAACGCCAAACGGTACGCTAAAAGATCTAAGATATATATGCTAAACACTAATAATGTAAAACAATACGGTGTAACAACAGCATCTGTAACAGAGTAAAGCTAATTTAAAAAAAAAAAACTAGCAGTGTTATTTGTGTATATTAGAAAAACAATGAGCAGGGTTTAAAGTTTCAAAAATGTATACATTATTATTTCATTTTGTAAAAAGGAAAAAAACATGCATTGTGTCGACTGTACTGGAATTAGCCACTCCAAGTCACAAAAATGACTGTGTTTATTTGTTGTCACCGCAAAAACAACAACATCCATCTTATGCTGCTTTTAATACTTATATTGTTCGTAGTAGCTTGCTTAGGGTCAAGTGACAACCTATCAGGTGTATAATTTTCAAATAGCAAAAAGACAATACAGGGGATTTCCCCATTCTATCCCTCAAACACGCACCTCACTAGGACTGCACCTTACAAACAAAACGACAAGTTGAAAACATAAACACAACTATCCGATTTGAAATGCACACTCTTTAATCTGCATTTGCTAACTCGGACTGACCATGAACTTACTCTGTAACATACAATAAGCTACTCAGTTTAAACTGTAACTCAGTTAACGAAAGTGACAAGTCAATAAACATATCCTATCTAGAAGTTAGTTTTAAAAAGCATACTCAAGCCATAACTGAAGGGGTTAAAATGTCTACTATTTTTATAAGCTGGAAATTATTTTTAAGCATCATTTTAGGAGGAGTAAGACTCCTGTGGGAGAGACACTGGTGCAATTACTATCCTCTGGCAAAGAGGGGATCCTCTACCCTGGCTGCAACAAAAGGATTTCCATTACAAACAGGTTTCACCAGACCAATGATACACTCCAACTTCCTGTTGTAAAGTCTCCTCTCAGTGATTCCATGGATTCCTCCCAGCAGGTTCTATGGACTCATAATGACTTCTGATGGGTTAGTTACACAACCTTGAGGAAAAGTGGTTCGGGGATAAACTAGAGTCACTGATTGACATAGAATATCGTGCCAAATACTTCCTTTGTAGCTCCATGTTACTTTAGTGTCAGCCCTCTAGAAATTTCTGATAAAAGACCTACGTCCTGTCGACATGATTCTACACTGACGTTATACTATAAAGACGCAACCTTAAACTTCTACCAGTCATTTTGTTTGTGCAGTAAAATATTTTAGGAGCCAAGCAAATGACAACACATGACAAAGGAAAGACTTTTTCATCCTAGATACAGTTCCAAAAAGTATACGCTGACAACAAGTGTATTTTTTTGGGGTTTTTTTACACTGATACAAATTACACACTTTAGTTGCAATAGTTTTAAAAAACAATTCCAGTCTTTAAAAATACTTTAGTAACTACAGTGCACTAACTGCAGTAAGAAAAACGACCTTTGTCTATATCAGTTTGTAATATTAACAAAATTATACAAAAGTAGGTTTAGTACAAAATCCTGGTTACACTTGCGCATGGTACGTTTTTATACTTGGTTTATTTGTGAAGTGTAAAAAATGATCCAATAAAGTGTACAAAACACTTGTGGCAACACATTTTTAAACTTTGTGTCATAACGTTCTCAACAGTTTGACAAAAAGGCTGTTTCAGGTTTAAACTTGAGTTTAAAAATAAAAATAGAAAGTGCAACTGGTCCACAGTTCCTCAGATACAGAGAATGCAAGCAAACGGTAAATTTGCCATGCTTTGTCTTTAATTGAGCTCGTAGAAAAATTAGCCAAAGCGGCTCTTAAAAAAGAAGCAAGTGGTGAACTGAGACATCTGCTTAGTCAGTTTGTAGGCTTTTCCACAACATGTCTATAACTGTTCTTCTCTTACATCTCAGCACATTAGTTCAAAAGAATCATCACTGAGGAGGCAGGGCTATACAAAGCTTTTTGCTTAATAATGGCCCAATTATAAAACAACTGGAAGAGGACCTCTCAACAAAATGCTCATTTTCAGACCAGAAATTCATGCAAGTTTTAAAGTCAA